TTATTCTGAACCTCCTTCTTACAGCGAGGTTTTACTATCTCCTGTTTGGCATCAAGCTATGCTTGAAGAATTCTCTACTCTTCAACAACAACATACCTGGTCTTTGGTGTCACTTCCCCCTAACAAAACTGTTATAGGCTGTAAATGAATTTTCAAGGTGAAAAGAAATTCTGATGGCACTATTGCACGGTGTAAGGCACACTTAGTTGCCAAAGGGTACCTGCAGAAAGAGGGTATTGATTTTCATGAGACTTTCAGTCATGTGGCTAAGCAACCCACTATTCGCATCTTACTTTGTCTTGCTGTAGACGTGCCCGAACACCCCGGGGAGATGAGTCCCGTTCTGTTCGTTTTGGGCTCACTACAGTTCGGACTCAAATTGTCACGGTTCTCAATCTGAACCAAAGAGTCCAAATCCGACAAATCGTTTTTGAAAACAGATTTTTTGTAAAGAAGTGCCAAACATGGACTGCTTTGCCAGATACAAAGTCGCCACCTAAATGTTTTATTTGTGAAATTTAGGAAACCCTGACTCGTTGCCTAAGACCACATGTCGTCATCACCAAAGTTGCCTCGGCTCGGAACTTAGGTACGATGGGGAAGTCACTTCGTTGAGCACCCCCGCTGCCGATCAAAGTTCGGCTCTACTAACCATGATATCTAGTTTTGAAACATTATGTGTTCTTATTCCGATTATTAGCCTAGATTTACATGTGATGGCACAGCATACAAGCATAGACTGGATCGCCTGAATTGAACAAAATGTTTCATGTTTGTTTATTTTGAAAATGGTTTGATGGTGCTACCGCAAGTGGCTAAGACGTGATTGCACATCCTCAGGTGGGTTAGAAAAATGATTTGCACTATCTAGGCTTAAAACTCATAGCCAATGATTTTGTTCCAATCCAAATAACCCAACCTTCCCCACAGCATTCAGCAGTATATCACATAAGCATATAGCCTCTTGTAATCATGCTATCATGGCAGTCACTCACACACTGCAAGGATGCTAAAGCATAAAATTATCGATACTCCAAGCAAAACAGAAGCTAGTTAGAAATCCATGCATAATCCTAACTATAAGAAATGCCTAATGCAACACATGCAAAACTGCAACATAGCAGGCTCGGCTATTCTAAACATGGCATATGAAATGCTACAGCTAACATGTATTCACTTGAAATTGAAAATACAATGCATTAGTATGATGCCTCGAGCCCGGTGCATGCAATACAGATAATGAATGCAAACATGCTATCATACTGTATGCTAATGAAACATGCCTAACTAACCATCATAAGCTGGTAAATAAAAGGAGAAAGACGTGGGGTTGAAGACATACATCACACACACGCACACTTATTACAATATTGCCCTCGCGCAGAGGGTCCGAAATAAATAATATAACAGTCCGAATAAATAGATATAGTCCGAATAAGTACAAAATCCTAATTAATTAACAATATTAATCTAGGAAAGCAAGTAAATTAGCATGCAAGCTAGGGACTGCTCAACTCTGCTACGAGACGATGAATGATGCATGCTCGAGTGCCTTCGTCGGGAAATTCTCTACGATGCCCCGGTTTGCTCTGTTTGCAATTGTTCTCGGGATGCGTGCAAGCTCCAGAAGGCTCCAATTCTGATTTGCTGTAACAGAGAGCAACAAAGGGCATGTAAAGTATTTTCACATATGTATGCATGACTACTCTTCAGGGAGTGTTAGTCTCGATCCTTGTGCCACCAATCATGCATCGGCATGGTGCCGAGGAGTCAAATTGCACGACTCGATGTGAAATGAATGCACATATAAACACAACAAGGCCTAGACTCCATCATGGATAATCCGGAGTGTCGGTGACCAGGAATTGAGACACGTTCCGTCGCTCGGAGTACGAAACGTACCTCGTTTCCTCATGCTTGGGTTAACTCCTATCCCAAACACTATGCAATATGCATGATATGCATGAATGCAACCCTAACATGCAACCTAGCATACACAATGCTATGAAATGGCATACACAATGCACGATGTAACGAGGCATACACAATGCTCTAACATACAACCTAGCATACGCCATGCTATGAAATGAAATGGCATACACAATGCAGGATGGACTTACACCAACACGAGTGGACCTCAGCCACACTCACATCAGTAGCCACGAGATGAAAATGAGACACTCAAAATGCGTGCACACATGCACGCAAACTGAGGACCAAGCCTAAGGCATCAAATGCCACTCTACCCAAAGCATGGCAAGGCATGGAACATGATATGCAAACATGCAACTTTCAGCACTAAAATGTGATGCAAAATGGTCCCGAAACATGGAAACATGGCACCTGATGCATGGAATGGTCCCGAAACACAAAACTAGGCACATGCATTGACCTATAGCTCTACAAAGCATGCATTATTTGATCATGAAGTCTAAAGATAGAGCCAAGGCAGTCCCAAAACATGAACATTTATGGTTCAAAGCATGGCCAAAAGATGCTAGCATGATGAACTAAAATAGCATGCAAGATTGGCTAGCAAACATGAATTATATGGCAAGTATAGGATGCACATGGAATCTTACCAAACCAGCAAAAATCAGTGAATAAAATATGTGAAAACATGCCCAAATAACCATGGAGATGCAACCAATACATGCAAAAATGATGAGCTCCTTTAGAGGGCCATGCAATGGATTATTAAGCACATACAAGGCGGACACTTATCATGGAATAAACAACTATGAAAATCAAATATGGTAGTCTTAAAACTCACCAAATTGACCCTGGAAAGTGACTTCAAAGTATGCAAGATAGGGTCTCCTTGGAAGGCCAAAAATGACCACCAAACAAGTCAAGGTGAGAGGGGGTCATCCCCCTCTGATTTGGAGGCTCAAAATAGTGTGCTAGCCACTGAAAATCCACTGGATTTCAGTGGCTAGAAGGCCAAACCAAGCATGCAACAAGAGCTTAGGTGTAAGGCTCAAAATAAGGGACAATCAAGCATACAAGGAAGCATATGACCTCAAAAAAGAAAATGCCCTTAATCAAACATGAATATGATGTCAAAATGAGACTTTTTCCAGTTTATAACAAATCTCAAAAGTGAACACAAATAGGGCTAATCTATTATGCAAAAATGGCCCTAAAAGAGAGATTAGAGGCAAGGGACAGAAGCTGGCCCCAAATAGCAAAGAACCCTTCAACAAAGTTGAAGAGGGGCTCAAAAAAAGGCACTTTACAGTTTATATCAAGTCTCGAAAATAAACACAAGTGAGGCTAAAACAACATGCAAGAAAAAGGCCTAAGAGAGGGATAAAGAGACAAGTGGTAGCAGCTGGCCTCAAACAGAGGAGAGCCCTTCAAAAAAGTTGAAGAGGGGCTCAAAAAAATACATTTTAAAGTTTATGACCAAGTCCAAAACAGCTCAAAAATAAGACTAAAATACCATGCAAAAATAGGCCTAAAAGAGAGATTAAACACAAAGGGTAAGGAGAAGACCTCAAAAAGAAAAAAGTCCTTGATCAAACATGAACAGGAGCTCAAAATATGACTATTTACAGTTCATGTCAGAGCTCAAAAATGTAAGAAAAAGGGGCTAAGATATAGAACAAAATAAGGCAAGAAAGAGGGAGAAGAGGACTCACCCTTGTAGCACAAGTCTTCAGTAGCTTTTGGACCAAGAAAAGGTGCTCCTAACCTCTGAAAAATAGCCTCAAGTTGCTGGAATGGAGTGTGGAGGTTGTAGGCTTGGAGGTGGTGTGTAAAGGGTGCATGAACCTTAGGGTTTGGAGGGTTGAATGAGAGATATAAAGGGTGTATGTATCAATGCCTCAGTTGGTTTTTGTAACCCTTCAAAATGGAGCTGGGGTGCTGGCTTTATAGAGGAGAGGCCAAGGGAAAAGCGGGGGAAAAATAAATTCAAATTTCCCCCCCCAAAAGGCAGCCCCTCGAATACAGAATCTGGGGGAAAACAGCTGGCACAGCTGGAATACACTTGGACAGAGGATCATGGCCGGCCAGGGGTCAAAAGGGTCAATCAAAATTGCTGGCCGGCCACCCCAAAAAGGTGGCCTCCCATGTGTGCACAACACAAATATGTGGTCAAAATCTAGAAAATGTGAACCAAGAGAAAGAAAAGCCAACTTTTTAGAGGGGTTCAAAAGGGTCAGAGACAATTACTGGTCGGCCTATTCAAATTGGTGGCCTCCCAGGTGTGTACAACACAAATATGGGGTTTGGGGCTAAAGAAAGTGGCCCGGAAGTGGTCAACATTAGCTTTCTAGTGAGGAAAACGGGCGACGAAGAGCGATGAAGAAATAAAACTGGCTTTTCAGAAAAATTGTTGGCCTCCCACCCTCTTACAAGCTTTCTAACAATGAAAATAAGGTCTCCACCAAAAATGAACCAAAACGGATGCAAAACGGAGGTTCGGGGACCGAAACGCGCGGCCCGGGGCCCCGAAAATGGGCTGTTAAGCATCGGAGGTGGCATTCGACCACGAAGTTGGTCTCTCGGGCCACAGTGTTCCTGAAAATGGAGGAAATAAGGTGTATACCAAAAATCAGAGCAAACGGAGGTGGTTAGGCGGTCCCAAACCGAGGCACACGACCGTCGGCTCCTAAAAAAAAAATCGAAAACCGGGCTCCAAATGGGAAAAATGGCCTACGACCACGAGACGTAGCCTACGGCCACTGAGAGATGATCTACGAGACCTTTCCCTCCCATCGGGAAGAGAAAACAGAGAAAACAGAGCCTGGTTCGCAAACCGAGGCAAGGCACGAAAGAGTCCGGAAGTCCGAAGGCAAGGCTTGCAGCCGAGACTCTGAAACTTCTGAACGAGCACAATATGCGATATCACCAAGCGCTCAATCGGTGACGTCTGAGTCTTAAGGTCGGTCAAAAATGGGGTGTCTACACTTGCACTTCACCATAAGTGGGCTCTTAAACAGTTAGACATTTCCAAAGCATTTCTTCATGGTCATCTTGAAGAGGAAGTCTTCATGCTTCAGCCTCCCGGTTTTGAGGATTTTTCCTCCCCTCATCAAGTGTGTAAACTCCACAAGTCCTTATATGGATTGAAACAGGCACCCCGAGCGTGGTTTTCCACCTTTTCTCAATACTTGGTGTCTCAAGGCTTTACTCATGGCAAGAGTGACTCTTCTTTATTCATTCCAAGGACTGCCACCTCAGTCACTTATTTGTTGGTATACGTGGATGACATCTTGATCACTGGTGATAGTTCTTCCCACATTCAATCTCTCATTACAAAGATGCACAATGTCTTCTCCATGAAGGAATTGGGTGATATTGCTTATTTTCTTGGTATTTCAGACCAACCTACTAGCTCCGGATATCTTCTATCTCAGTCTAAATATGCCAAAGAAATTCTTCTGAAAGCTGGTTTGTCATCTTGTGAACCCCGTCCTTCACCTATTGCTGTCAAGCCTAGTGTTCTGCCAAATGCTTCTTTACCATTTTCTGATCCAGCTCTTTATCGAAGTATTGTTGGTGCTCTCCAATATCTCACCATTACCAGACCAGACCTTTCTCTATCTGTTAACCAAGCTTGTCAACATATGCATGCCCCTACCATTGAACATTTTGCTGCAATCAAGAGAATTCTTAGATATGTTCAAGGGACCATCACTCATGGCTTGTTCTTTTCCTCAAGTACTTTTGATGTTCATGGGTATTCTAATTCCAATTGGGCCGGTGATGTTCATGACAGAAAATCAACGTCTGGTTACTGTGTCTTCTTGGGTTCCAATTTGGTTTCTTGGTCTGCCAAAAAGCAGGTCACAGTGTCACGCTCATCCACTGAGGCTGAATATCGAGCTTTAGCCAATACTGCTGCTGAGTTAAGTTGGATTTCCATGCTGCTTACTGAAATGGGTATTACTTCTCCTACTACCCCTATTCTCTGGTGTGATAACCTCTCTACAATAGCTCTAGCTTCCAATCCTGTCTTCCACACACGTTCAAAGCATATCGAAATCGATTGTCATTTCGTCCGCGATAAGGTTCTAACTAAACAGTTTCAGTTGCAATATATTCCAACAATTGATTAGCTTGCTGATCTGTTTACTAAACCTTTTAAGTGTCTCTCGGTTTCAATATCTCAAATCCAAGCTCATGGTTCTTGATCGCCCCATCAGCTTGCCGAGGAATATTGAAGATCCTAAGCTAAAGCAGAATAGCAGTTCAACTGCTTCAACTGATTCTGTTACAACCAATGCTGCAACTGATTCTGTTATAGCAGCTACACCAGCAATTGATTCTATCAATGCTGCAACTGATTCTGTTATAGCAGCTACACCAACAACAGAGTCTGTTATATCAGCTACTCTAAGAAGATTCCCGAAGCCTCTACCATCTCAGCTATACAGTGGTCACTATCACCCAGTTGTAACAACTTAGAGCTTACATACAAGTTTATAAATAAGCATTGTAAATCAACATTTATGTATCTCTGAAAAAATATAATACAAAAGGTGCTTTCAATTCTTCAGTAATTGATTTGTTTTGATGTCATCCTCAATGATCCAGTAGTACTATCAAACTTTATTATAGTTAACAGTTGTTTTCACTTGTAGCAAAACCTATATAGAAACTAATGTGCTATTTTTTTATTCGACCATTATTTATAATTAATGCATTCATTTTCTAAACCCTTCAGTTACTGATTATGCATCTTGTGATTAACTCTGTTGCTGTTCAAGCTCATACTCACTGATTTGTGTTAAATTCATTCTTTCTCAAGGATCTGGTATTCTAATGCAATTCTATATGTTTTCTTCTTTCATTGTTTCAAACAAAGGAAGGATATCAGATCAGTTCTCTCCCCAGCTTGATAATTGTTTATCTGCATCAGAATCTATTCAAGAGCCGTATATCCACAGTGGTGTTCCCCCACATTCTACTACCAGTTCATGCAATAATGTTAGTTCAGGAACATGTTCTATAGTGGAAGGGGAATCAGAAAGTACTATTGCTCCTCATAAAGATGATAAAATGCCCATTCCTGCAAAATCAACTTTTGAAGCCACTAATAATGTGCCCTTTGGACAAATTGGTATGCTGGGAGACAAATTCAATAAACAGCAAATTCCAAGGTGGTGCTTATTTTTGATTTCCTATGTGCTATATGCAAGAAACTGCTCTACGAACCTGTAGTTCTTAATTGTGGCCATGGTAAACTTTACTACTTTAAATCGTTATTGTACACAGTTGAAGTCTGAAAAATTATATAATGAAATGTCGGTTTGTTGTCTTCCTTTGTGTAGTATATTGTGAAACTTGTATCATCAGTCCTGACGACAAGGTCCCCGTGTGTCAAGTATGTCTAAGTGAGCATCCAAATGGGAACCCAAAAGTTTGTTTGGTACTGAAACATTTCTTGGAGGAGCAGTTCTCAGAACAATATGCATTAAGAAATGAGGCTGCATCCAAATAGTCTGCTAGTCAGAATGGGAGTCCACCCGTATGTATGTTTTAAGTTTTAGCTGCTTTTTTACATTGAATTTTTGTTGATCTTAGGATACTTCTAATTGCACAATATATATATATATATATATTGATAACCAAGAGTGCAAACTTGGGATAGGTGTGACCACCCCCTAGCCTCACTTATTAGGCAAAGTAGGACGTCAGGACTCTAACCTTATTGCATAATATTTGGGAGAAAATTGTACCAATGTCAACATGATATTTTACATATTCCCCTGTCGATACTGATAGATTATTCAACAATACTCTCTAGATTTTAGTTGCCCATTTATATTCCATTTTGTTATTTTTTGCATGATTAAACCTTGCTGCTGCTAATATGATCAGCAAGAGAATATAATTTTATATTCTCTAGTAAGATGAGATTTTTGTGGATGTTTTGCAAATTTACTCACGTTTTTAGCTTGTTAATGACACTGTATCTGTTGCAGTTGCTAAGTAATCTAAGATACTGTGTAGATCTTTTTGTAGTATCCACTATTATTTTATCCGTGCCTTTATTTTTCTTCTACTCTGATGGGTCCTCAAAGTTGCACTCAAGATCTGGTTGCTGCATGATTTGAAGGAAATTGTATTGCGAATGAATATAACGTAAGCATTTGTGAATCCACTGTGAAATTTTTGTTATAAAAAATTGTATTGGTGATCTTTTCCTGAATGCTTATAGGATAGTTTAATAGTGGATTGTACAAACATCCACTAATAAGTATTTTTGTTTTTGGGAACACTAAAATTTTATGGAATTGGGTTGGAGTCGGAGGATACTGCTGCCACAGAGAACAGGCAAGTAAACGAAGCAAAATTTATTTTTCTACATTCCTTCTTCTATATGCTCCTTATTGTAGTAGCTTTTATTACATAACATCATTAAAATAAGAACCAAAAAAAAAAAAAAAAACTTTGAGATTTTTAGTTTTCTACATGCTGAAAAGTATTTAATATTCTCAGAATAAACACATCTTTTTTAGAAGTATAAATTAATCCACTGTCATCATTTCCTGCATAGCAGTAATAAGACTTGTCTTTATATAAATTTTCATGGGTTAGTTATTCGAGTACAAAAATATGTTTTCACTTATATTCCCTTCTTTGTCATTTTGTATCCTCCAAAGGAAGCAAGATATAAAAGATTAATCATTATGCATCAACCACTATTTTTTTTTTTATAATATATTTTTGTGCACTTTACATTTCTGTTACGGTAACTCACAAATACATCAAAAGTTGGATTGACCTGCTTTACCCACACACAAATGCGCCATTAAAAGTTAAACATTCTTTACCCACCTTCTTTGTCAGAAAAAGTAAACATGACGTATAAGATGTGCCATTAAAAGTTTTTCAGGACACATTGGGAACACTTGACACATTGTGTTGCGGTTATAATTTTTATGAATCCAGAACAAACGTTATGAAGTTGTTTATAAGGAGAAAAGACCTATCTCAATACATGAAGGCGGGTCTCAACTAGATTTTTTTATCTAAAGTTCAACCAAAGCAGATAGACTATTTAGAAGTAGAAAGACTATTTTAACTTAGTTTCCATTGTTGAAACATAGGTCAATATTGGCATATTGTGGAACAATAGTTAGAATTGATATATACATATGAATGATGTTTTATGTACAAAATGATATTGATAGTCATTTAATTTGTTAATGTTTCCTTTACTTTCCATGTAGAATTTATATTTTTTTGTCCAATTTTACAATAAAGTGATGTGCAAATATTTTCAAGAAAAATTTACCTGACATTATTTCTCATTTTCTTTGGTACAGATGGATTATCTCGTGCACAAAGCTAAATTGTATATGACTGATTGGCACTATAAGCATTTTTGGAAGGAATATATATTTTTGGATAGATGTGTATGGAAAAGATTTGGGTGGACTAGTAGTTATATTTTTGGAAAGACTAGTAGTTATATTATTTGGATGAATGTATATGGAAAATATTTGGATAGACTACTGGTGTGCATATTTTTTGATAAATGCGCATGGTTGTTATTATGTTTTAACAATTTTTAAATTGTTTTCTTTTAGTATTATATTTCAGTTTTAGTTTAGCTTATTTTTAGTATTATTAGTATTGTTACCTTCTTCATGTTCTTTATATTTCTGCTTCCGTCCCTTTGGTATCAGAGCCAAGTTATGTTGAGATCTCTTGCTTACTGCTTTGCTACTTCTGTTGAGTCAACTCTATTTTCTGTCTGTTAATCTGTTTCCAGTCATCTTAATTTGTCAAAATTATATCTGTGTTTTCCACTTTGTTACTAGCCACCCAATCTTCGTCCCTGTCCTTGGTCAGTCCTTTGGTTAGGCAGTATAGGATTTTAGGGGTCCTCCGAAATGGGTATGTGTGAAAGCATAGTATGTGAAAACATGATAAATTTAGACAATGTATTAAGATTCCTGTAAAACAGTTTAATTAAAGAAAAATAAGTCGATTATTTAGAAGTAACTCTTCAGTCAGTTCTAGGTCAACAACTTTGCCCTCAATACCTAATCAAGGATTAGTAATTAATGAAGAAGAATTAGAAATACAAAATGATAAACTGGATTTAAGTTGGAATATACCAAAATTATCAATTAAAGAGATTTATAAAACTACGTTTTTACAATCTACTTTTAATGTTAATCTGCATGTTAAAACATTAGAACAAGTTTATGCTTTAGAAAAGCCAAGAGAAACCTGTCACTTATTTGATGCTAACACTATTAAACGTCATTTAAAAACTGGTCACAATTTTATTCATTTAGGATTAATTCAAGTTGGAATCAAACCATTAACTCCACAATGTAAAAATACTTCTGTTTTATTATGTTTAAGAGATGCTCGTTTTCTTGATTATAATGATAGTTTAATGGGTATGGTGGAAACTGGTCTTCACAAAGGACCTATTCATTTTAATTGTTTTCCTGATTTCACACTCAGTCTTAGAGATCCACACATATTAGATGCATTAACTTTAAATATTCAATTAAATGGTTCATTTACTAATATGAAAGAAAAAACTCATAAAATTGCTTTAATTTACCGTGTCCATTATAAATGTATTAAAACCAATTTAAATGTTCAAGCTTTACATAAAAGCCCTAAGGACAAAACATTACTGATTCAAACTAGTAACAATGATACTAATATAAATATTCCTCAAATCATAGAATGGAAAGATATTACTCTCTCTGATCAATGGATTACAGTTAATGAAAATTACAAACATAATCAACAACAATCCACTAGTCAAGATATCCAAGATATTCAACAATTTACTGACGGTTCAGTCCGTATTAAATTTAATCATAGTCAATCTTCTAGACATAGTACTTCTAGTATACCTACTGATCTTGAAACTGAAGATGAAATATTTAATACTCCTTTATTCCGAAAAAATAGTCAAATTAATCTTGGTCAACCCTCCCATAGTAAATTAAAAGGCATTGATAACTCTACTACCTCTCAAATTAGTAAACCTGTTTATTCTACTCATACACATTTCTGTGAAGAAGATACTGAATCAAATAATTCTCCTACTCAAACTGATTTTGAAGTAATACCTCCAATCAATCCTCAATTAATGACAATTAGTAAATCTTTTGCTCCTGATCTTGATAAATTACATGTCGAATTTAAATCTAAAGAAAATAGGACTAAAAGACATGCTTATCGTACTAAATATGATTCTACTCAACAATCTAAACTTACTAGAAAATGGTATGATTTTATGATTGAATATAGTATGGAAATTCCTTTCTTTGAATATTTAGACAACTATTACAAAAAGGTTAATACAATCACAAAACATAAATGGAAAACTTCTCCAAATACTTCTGTTAGCTCTAGTCATCCTCCTTTATCTAATATTATTATTGAACATCAAGGATCTGAAGTCCCAGCCTCTCCTTTTAAGT